CCTTTTGGGAATGGGCAAAAGTACATAATGACCCCCCCCCACACCCACCCCACTTTCCTTCTACCTGTTTATATAATATAATCATTATAAAGAGAGGGACCAGACACTCTTGGTTTGTCATTTAAAGTAACTAAAGAGGTTTTACGGCTCCATTGACACAATTTAGACGATTTAGGAATCATCAATCTTTGGGCTTGTGGAGTTATTGGTGTCATTTTAAAGTTTGTTCGTCTTACTTTCGATGAAAAAATACTGCTGTTTGTATCAAGTTGTGTGGTTTTTCTTTCCAGAATGTGCCGGAGAAGAAGCCACAGCTTGTGGAGGTGCCACTTGTTTCCCAAGTGTTGGTGAGTCATTGAATTGTTTTGTTGGGTGGGAAGAAAGTCTTCTTTCTTACAGAAATGTCGTGTCACAACGTGGTGGAATCAGGCGCTGGTCGATCTTTGGGCTTGTGGAGTTATTGGTGGCATCTTAAAGCTTGGTCGTTTGTCTTGTTTTTGATTTAAGAAACACCCATTTATCTTGAATACAAGTCGAGATATTTGTGATAGGAAGAGTGGGCAGTCGACTGCTTTCAGAGTCATCCTATGAAGAAAATGGCTGTCAAAGTTTGATTACTTTTCAAGTTTGAGAGTTCTTCGAAACTAAAAAGTTTTTCCTTTAATCGAGAGTTTTTTAAAAGTAAAATCTACACAGAAATGTTTTTAACTGGACATAAAATGATTGTATGGTTTGCTCCTTTTTTCCTATCAAACATTTAAATCGTCTTTACCTCCCCTCCTTCTTTTTTGTGTTTGTTACTCTCTTGTAGTTGCAGATGACACGGTTTTAATAGCAGGCTCCGAAAAGGACCTTCAAATGCTTCTAGATACTGTTGTAACAGAAAGTGAACGTAAAGGATTAGTGTTGAATGTAAAGAAAACAGAATGCATGGTAATATCCAAAAAAGCAGCAAATCCTAATTGTAATCTCATTAGCAAAGTTGAAAAGATCAAACAAGTCCAACAGTTTAAATATATAGGATATATGATAACAAATCTTCCGCAGAAATAAAAAGGAGGACTGCAATGGCTAAGGCTAGTTTTAATCAAATGAGCCCAATCCTGAAAAATAGAAACATATCAATGAACACCAAAATGAAAGTCCTGAAATGCTATGTTTGGTCAACCCTTCTATATGGCTGTGAATGCTGGACAATCACAAAAGACAGTGAAAATAAAATAGAAGCAACAGAATGTGGTTTCTTAGGAGACTGCTAAGAGTATCATGGAAGGAAAAGAAATCAAATGAGGTAGTGCTTGATGAAGCCCATGTGGGACGCTCACTGTTAAAAACATTCCGGAAACGACAAATGCAGTTTTTGGGACACCTGAATAGACATAAGGGTCTTGAACATCTAGCTCTCACTGATAAAATTGAGGACAAGCGAGGCAGGGGTAGACCCAGAACAACATACTTAGGGAACCTAAACAAATGGGTAACAGGGAAAGATCAGGGAAACGTAGCTTTTTTGAGAGCATCCGAGCAAAGGAATGAATGGAGAACCATGATCGCCGATGTCTTTCGCAGATCTGGCACTGGATGATGATGATGATGACTCTCTTGTAACACCTCTAATCTTCAGCACTTATTTGACCTTATTGTGTTGCAAGTGCCGTAAAATTCTTACTAAATCTGACCCACTTTCTGCCCTCTAGGTGTTTCCCCCTGCAGTTTGGAAGAAGATTTCTCGGCCAGTGACGATGACAGCTCGACTGACCCAACTCCCCCTGGTGAGTCAAAACTGTCTGCTTTTAATGTACGTCATCAGCTACCAATTTTTGCAAGACTGTAACACACAGGTCTGTGTACTGATCCCTTTTGGGAATGGGCAAAAGTACATAATGACCCCCCCCCACCCCCCACACCCACCCCACTTTCCTTCTACCTGTTTATATAATATAATCATTATAAAGAGAGGGACCAGACACTCTTGGTTTGTCATTTAAAGTAACTAAAGAGGTTTTACGGCTCCATTGACACAATTTAGACGATTTAGGAATCATCAATCTTTGGGCTTGTGGAGTTATTGGTGGCATTTTAAAGTTTGTTCGTCTTCATCTCTAATAAAAAAAATACTGCTGTTTGTATCAAGTTGTGTGGTTTTTCTTTCCAGAATGTGCCGGAGAAGAAGCCACAGCTTGTGGAGAGCGCCGTTGGATCCCAAAACTGCGGGGAGCCTTGTGATTTATCTTTTGTGT